AGTATTATGTCTCATAAAGATTTTGAGTTAACCCGAAAATGCTGACTAAAGTCGCCTATGAACGTATTCTTTAGTTGGGTAAAGACGTCTTAGCCATTAGATTGTTTTTCGTCGGGCAAGAATTTTCTGGTAGTGAATGGCCATAGTACTTAATCTCTCATAAGTGAGATTAAAAAATTTCAAAGCATATTAAAAATACAAAGCAATTTACAAATACCAAGGCACATAAAAAATTCATAATAATTCATGTACAAGTGTGAAAAAATATGCAAACGCTCCTGATCACATCTTCTACGCTTTGGTGATGGGTACATTGTTGTTCGAACTTTTAGAACCCTACAAACCCTCATGAATAGTGCTTTTAAGGGTAATTCAAAATAAATAAAAAGTAATTAATGTACAAGTTGAAAAATGTGAAAGAATATATAAACGCTTGAGTGTAAAATTAAAAAAATTTCATAATAATTAATGTACAACTATAGAAAATGAAAAAAAAAAAAATGTAATCACTCATAGCAACAAGCTTTACAACTTTTGTAAATGACTCAGTTCCGAAATCCGCCACCATAATCTATAAACCCTAGATTTAATATTTAACTTCTCGATTGTCGTTTATGCTCTATTCTTCTTATCGGATTTTTTTTTTCTTTTCAAAAACATGATATTTTAGCAGCTAAAGAAAAACAAACGATTCGGATCGTTGATATCATGTTTCGAGAAATATATTCACTAACCGTAAAAATTTGAACATGATATCAACGATCCGAACCGTTCATCTTTATGCATCCGCTAAAAGATTATGATTTTAAAAAAAAAATTGAAACAACAAAATTCAGTGAGAAGAATGGAGTGTAAACGTAAATGACAATCAAAGGTTAAATTTAAATCTATGTTTTATGGAATTATAGTGGCAAATTTTGGAGTAAATCTCTTCACAAAAGTTGTAGAATTTATCATTACAAGCCGTTCTATATTTTCTTTTTATTTTTTTTCACACTTCTATATTAATTAAAAAATTATTTTGTAGTAATGTTCTTTTATCTGAACTCTTATTTTGTTCATTTTCAACATTGTTTCTTTCGGTTACCTGGCATTGTCCCCACATCAGTTAAAGCCCTGCAATGAGATCAGCCATCTGGCGTCAGTCCAATGACATCAGCTAATTAAACAACTCAGTCATTTAAACATCGCAAATACATACATATATACCTCATATTATATAAATTAAATAAATAATCTCCATCATACAACTACCCAAGGAAAACATGAATCCAAAAGTATCATTACTTGAAGTCTTTAAAAAAATGTAAGCAATTTTATGTAATTCTCTTTGATACGATGGATTTGGGTACATGTTAAAACTCAAATTCTCTTCGAATTAATCCGACATAATATATACAAGGCATTAATCCAATCGATGTTGACAACATTTACAAGTCTCATTCCTAAACAACATATGAGATAACAACACTAGGAGTAGGACTCTTCTATATTATTTAAACACTTTAGAACTAGTGAAATATTGAAATAAATAGAAAGGTAAAAGAATAAAAACACCTTAATTATATACGAAACTTTTTTTTTTTTTGTTGAAATTATATAGTCTGAACACATAATGTGAATAGAGAAAGATGATGTGGGCTTATCCTTGATTATAAATAGGGTAGCAATTTCAAAGCTAAGAAGCAAGTAAATCACATGACAAGAGAAAAGAGACAAGCGGGAAGAAAGATAAAAAAGAAGAGACAAGTGAGAGTGATCATCCAATTTAACATGGCAACAACACTATCAAGCCCTTTTAAGTGGAAATCTAACAACAACCGGTACTTGCGCTTACATGGTGGAGAAATCAGAAATCAAGACGGGATTCTCGAATTCACCCGAGAGGATGCTAGCCTAATTTTCACAAAGGAGGTTTCACAAAATTACACTGAATGCGTGAATCAAATAGAGTGGTTCCACAAGCACTCTGAAGCCAACTGTTATTTGAAAGTGGAGCAGAAGGAAGAAGGGTGGTTGATCGTGGCCACCGCTCACACACCAAACGACGACAAGGATGATGAAAATTGCACACTGTTCACGCCTGAGAAGCCTGATATTGTCAAACCAAATACCTTCCGAATACGCCATGCGCAAAACAATCTCTATTTAAGGCCACAAAAGCTTGAACAATATGGTTTGGACGCAGCCCTTTGCGCAGTCAGCTCAAAACCTGATGACACTGGAGAAGTGGATGTCTTTACAATCACTGGCAGTTGATGATCATAACTATCACATGATGCTTATGGGTAACATCTCTAGAAACCCTCCCGAGACTTCACTCATCCCATCAAGGTCACTTATGGGTTTAAAAGGCTTGTTGTATGTGCTCAATGCAATTGAGTTCCCTGCTTGCTAAACCCAAGTCCAGGTGTCGCGTAGCAGTTTAAACTCAAAGTCCGAGTTGTATTCCTCATAGAGCATTGAAAAAGAATGCAGAATTTGTCGAAACTGAAACAAAGAACAATATTGAATAAAATGTAATTTTTTAAAAGAAAATCCAATAATATAAGAGCACTAAGACGTAAGAGTTCCACCTTCAACATACATATGTAATTTCATTAATTTGATTCTTTTTGTAACTCAATCAAGATGCAACATACAGTGTACCCGATCGGAAGATATGGCAATATATAAAACACACACAAAAATATACAAACTCTAACTATGGTTATTCCCAATAACTCATTTGAATTTCTTATAGAATTCCAAGCATAACTTTACCTCTGGCACAAACTATCAAGAAATACTTCCATCGAAATTACTAGATATCTACTAATTTATCTCAATTCACAAAAGTATGAATGCTGAAACCGAATTATAGGAAAAACATGTTTGAACCTATGAATAGTAACGAACATTCACCAATCGACAAATAGAGAAAAAATAGCTATTAAGTTGAACAAACCAATAACAAGAGTTTATCGTTGATAACACAATTCAAATCAAACTAATAAGATCACATAGTAGTTGAAGGTTTTCCTCCTAGTCTTAGCTAGGGAGTTTAGTCCTCCATATAATAAAATAGAAAAATAAGAAACTCGAAAAATTATGAAAGAGCAAAAACTGATCAAAAACAAAAATGGGAGTGGTTATATTGAGCTGCTGCCGCCAACCTCCATATCCCTCTTGAATAATGATGATCAATGATAAGCCTTAATGCCACAATGAAATGGTAATGGCTGGCCGTTTCTTTTTCTTCTTCTTTGCCTTCTCTATTCTTCATTTCCTTTTTTTAACGGACATAGAGTTAATCACCAATTTATTGTCTTGTGCCTCATCCTTTAATTGCCTTGCATCAATCTCATAGTCTTGCACATTAAAATTAATATAATCTAAGTCAAAATTAAAACAAATTAGATATAAAACCTATTTGACCAGTTATACATGATAAAACACAAATTTGATAAATTATTAGAGAAAAACATGTAATGAGTATAATCAAAGCGCATTAGACATGCACTTTTGAGCAATTATCACAGCCCCGCCCCACCCCCAAAACTAGCTTATTGCTGGTCTCTAGAAATTCAAGCGACTAAAAAAATACTCTAGCACCAAACCAAAAACAAAAAGTCACATGGAAAAACCAGTTTCCCCCTTCAGAACCCTCAAAGCATTTTATTCAAGTGTACATAATAATCAAGAACCTTAATAAGCATAAAGCAAGTGAATCCACAATATTCTAGTATTAGTAATAACTTCTCAAATATCCTTGGAGTATAGTGTATGAAATAGCCATAACAATGTGATCCTAAGCTTCTTTAAATCGCAATATAAAAACAAGTGAGTCTCTCACAGGATTTACACTCATGCACACAATATTTATGCATTAATATGTCTCGCTCAAGTGATCTCATAAAAACATGCTACAATATATATGTTTGCTTGTCCACCTACTCGCTGTCAATATCATATGACTACTTGAATCAAAGGTCTTTATTAAGGTTGTAACGGGGCTTGTGGTTAAGGTTAGAAAGAAGAAAAAGGAATGGGAAAACAAAGAGCCAATGAAAATTACCAGAGCACATGATGAAAATAATTGACTGCAACGTCGCTTGAATCCTCTGTGGCTTCACCAATATCTTGAACATAAGACACTACTACGTTTAACATTTAGCGTGACGAACACAAATTGGTCGTGCAAAGCTTATTCCCGTTGCACAAACGTCAAAGCGACAAAAACTTTGTTGCGCAAAGATCATGAAGAAAGACTTTGTGCGACGAATAAACACATTGGTCGCAAAGAAGAAGGCGCGACGGTTCCTTCGTCACACCAAATTTTTAGGAACGAAGATCTTCGTCACACAAAATGCTAGGATACGAGTAGTAGTCGTCAGGATACATACATGGGATGACTAATCTACGTCTCTAAAAACTTTGTGCGATGACATGTTATTCTTTCACATTTACTAAAGAACACTGTGTGCTCGTCGCGTTAAGTGATATACGCCTATTTTTGAAGGGCGCACCTCTATTGGTGCACCTAAATCTCAGTATTTAAATTGTAAAAGTTCAGCTTGTATTTTCTTTAGCTGTTACCCTTTATGCCCTGGAACTAAACAGATATCTTGTCCTTGAAAATTTAGGGTAATCTCCACAGGTCATACAAGCCAAGTATCACTTGTTAAAGTGAAGGAAATACGAGGTGTGCTGCTGCTGAGGTTGGAATATGTAGTGTTTTCTTATTTTTATTACAAGTGATATTCTGGAGGAAAGAAACCGGTAGTCAATGGCTTGCTTTGCTGTGGAGCTGGGTGTATACCGCCACGTCAATGAACGCTGGCGGCATGCTTAACACATGCAAGTCGGACATGAAGTGGTGTTTCCAGTGGCGGTTTTCTCTAACTATGAGAGTAATGTACTACTTGTGGTAAATGTAGTACTAGCAAAGGGAATACAAATATATCAAAAAGAGAGTTTGCTAGCAAAGGAAATACTGATATAGATCATGGCCTCACATCTAGAAAATTAATGAACTCTTATTTTTATTAAAAAAAAAAACCTGGAACACCTGATCGATCAGGGTTTATTTATGAGATACATCCAGACTATAGGGCTTGAAAAACTTCATACAAACTTCAAACAACCACACTTTTCCACAAGGTAAAAGAAAAACGCAAACTTATTAAGTGCTGAAAAATCAAACAACTAACATAAATGCTATTCTTACCGCATTTTTCATACCAAATATTTTACCATTTTTCTAAAAGATATGAGATCCACATGAGTTGGTGGGTCCTACTTCGATTAGAGAAATGATACAAATGTAATATGAAAAATGTTGTAAGTGTAGCATTACTCAATAGCGAATTGGGACATGTCAAACCTAACAAAGCCTAGATAATCATCATTGATCCAGCCATACTTCTCCATGAACGGATTGACTTGGTTTAGATCCCTAGGGTAACTATCTATGCAGTCTTTCCACACATTGACATCATCCAAGTCCTTCATCACTTCCCACACAATATTGTTGCACTTAAAACCAGCTCCAAATCTACTCATCAGAATCCTGTTCCCCTTCTTAAGCCTCTTCTTTGCCTCCATGTATCCCAAAGCGTACCAAAATCCGGCCGCCGATGTGTTTCCGAACCGGTGAAGCGCCATTCTTGACGGCTCAACGTCATAATCACTTAGCCCTAAGCTCTTCCCAATCCCATCTATGATTGCTCTTCCACCAGGGTGAACACAGAAGTGCTCTATTCCTGTCTTGAGATTCAACCCTAGTCCCCCAGCTGCTTTTGGATTTTGGCTTGTAATACTAGTTCTAATATTGTTAAGCCTAGAGGCCACCAGATACCTAAGTATTTCTCTTAGTGGAAGCATTTTTGGTGCTAGAACTTGGAGGTTCTTTGTAAAACTCTGAGTTGCTGCTTTTACAAGGTATTTGGTAAGGCGGAAACCTCGATTTCCACTCTCATCTTCTACCTGTATGCAACAGTTATATGCTTCGTCATTCGAGCCGGTGTGCATTCGTACCAAATGGTTTAATTTCAGCTTGGCTTGGTGCTTTAGGCTTCGGTTGTTCGTGAGCAGCATCGCGCACCCTCCCGAGCGGAAGAGACAGTTTGTGAGCATCATGGATTTTTCTACGCCGCAATACCAATGAGGAGCCAACGATTCCGTGCTTACAACGATGGCATTCGCATTCTTGTGAGACTTGAACAAGTTTTGTACAACGTCAATGGCAATGAGGGTCGCACTGCAGCCCATTCCCGAGAGGTTGAAGCTCTTGATGTCGTCCCTCATCTTGTAACGACTCACTATACGTGACGATAGGGAGGGTGCAGGGGAGAACATCGACACATTGATGACAAGAATGTCGATTTGCGACGGAGAAATAGAGGTAGCCAGGGCGAAAAGCTTGTCTAGCGCGTCAAAGATGATGCCATCCATCTCCGCAAGTTCATCTTCTAGGGTTGCAGTTTCTTCTCGGCCTTGGATGATGTTTCTTGCGCAGTAAGTTTCCTCGCCAATGCCCGAATGGGTAATAGTTTTCAAGAGAAACCTGAATTCTTCCAGTCCCAGATTCCTGTTCCGCGAGACGATTTTCAAGCATGAATCAGCGCTGAGCTTCATGTCGTCTGGTGGCATGTGGCACTCGTAGGCCAGCAGATAGCATGCCTGGTCTCTCTTTCTGAGAAGTAACTTACAGAGGCAGGAGAAACCATAGAAAAGAGCCAGCAAACACGTTGCCATTAGGATCCCCATGTGAGAGAGACAGAGAGAGAGAGAGAGAGTTTAGAATTGGGAAGTGTCAAATGATCAGTTGGATGTATGCAGTTTCAACAATCTATTTCTCTTATAAATAGATGTTTAATAAAGAGCTAGAGTGTAATTTAGTAGGCCTCATTAAAGTGTATGGTTCGGTAGTAGTTACGCCAACCACTAATAATAATTAGTAGGGTAAGAAGGCTTTGACATTTAGCACCTTATATGCTTGGAGAAATTTTTTAATGTGCCAAAACACGACTTGGGACACTACATGTTATAATATAAGTGTTTAATTTTTTTTTTTCAAGTATCCAACCACTTATATTATAACACTTAATATACCGAACCATGTTCCGGCACTGAAAAATCTCTTATATACAAGTTGTCGTGTGTTAGCTTTCTCCACTCAAATATTGTGTGGACTAGTTTTTTTTTCATTGAATAAGGTATTTTTCTTATCATTTTTTTTAACAAATTAAGGGATTGAACAATGCATGGGAAATGTCTTCTTCACGAAAACTTGGCTCGGGACTTACAATTTTAACCGTGGAGCTATGTCGTTTGTTCTCTCGGGTTTGATTGGAGATCACTTATTAGACTCTATGTACGTTTTGCAAGAAATTTTAAAATTCTTGGGTTCAAAATGAGAACTGATTTCATGTTAGTTTGGGATGACAATTTCGGACATGCCACATTACACGACTTAAAACCTGCACGTATACGAAACTCGTTGTATACATAGTTAAAATTGTTAAAATAATTTATATTTAGTAAAATAACGACTTTTCCCATACTTCTCTTTCGCTTTTTACTAAAGAATACCGTGTGCTCATTGCTATAAGTGCCATAATTCTCTTTTTGTAGGGGCGCACTTTTGTGGGTGCCTCTATCAATTCAAGTAGCAAGATTTAATTTGTTTACATTTGTTATAAGATATCCAAAAGGGAATTGTTATTGGCACTTCAAATTTCTCATTCTACACTTCAAATTTTTTATATTTAGAAAGAAAAAAATACACTTGTGAGGAGTTACGAATGAGATTTTTGGAGTGCCAATAGCATTGCTCATCCGAAAATGGTATGATGAATTTGATGGTATTATTAGGTTGGATTGTGGTAAAAGAAATATATGAACGCTTGTACGAAAATTTGGTTATCAAAACTCAATAGGGAAATTGCCTTGACGGATAGGATATTCCTCAACTTACTAGCACTGCCATTAATGTTGAAACTCTCATGTAGCTTAGGATACTACAACAACAATAAAATCTTATCTCAATAAGTGAGATCGGCTATATAAATTCTAGGACGTCACTGTACTTGATTTTTTGCTAAGACTTCCATTAGCTTCAAGTATTCTATGTCTTTTCTTAAAATTTATTTCCAAGTACCAAGTGTAGCTTAGAATACTAATATAAAAAAACCAATATATGTGTATCTTTATTTGTTTTATAAACTAAATGCTCTTCTAATATTCTAGTCCACGTTCTATAATTGGTGACAATGAAATCCTTGATTCTTAATTTCTTTGAAAACAAATTGTTGTTATAATCAAGTGAACATGCCGCTTTTTGCTAAATACGAAAAAGGAAATGGAAATAGCTAAACGATGTTTCGTTTTCATCCGCTTATCATTTCTCTACTAAAACGAAATATCTTGGTCAGACCATAATATAAAATGACGTTACATTGCTATTTGTTTGCCATGTAAATTTGTATTGGCAAACATATCAAAACGACGTTGACAATTATGTAATTTTCGCGTTAATAATATAAATACTATGGAGGACATGTATGCTTGTAAATACTGACAACCAGCTTTTGAGATGATTTTATAGTAAATCTGCTCTTAGGTCCATAATTCTTGGAAGGTATGTAAGCTCATAGTGGGCCTTTTTCGTCCCACGACCATACGGCCTTGAGCCCAAAATTTGATGTGCATCATAAGCTACTAGTGACTGTTTTGCTATGATTTTTAACTTCAGGGTTCATGTTTCTTGCAGCAAATAATGACCGATGATGAAGATGAGTCATAGCTATATATTGCATCTTCTTCAGCAGGACAGCTCCCATGAAACTGATCTCCTTTATAGTCATTTTTACTCATAGGTTGGAAATCTAATTAGACATCGATCATCAAATCAAATACCAGTTTGAAACGAACATATGTATGCTGGGAAAAAAAAAAAAAAAAAACGAACACATATACTAGCTCTAGGAAATCTCCTTCCTTTGGAATCCAATCAATTGAAAAATTCAATTTTTGGATAACATATGTAGTGTCATAGTTCACATATATTGATAACTTATTTGGAAGTGCTTTTAAAATAACTAAAATGTTTTTAAATTACTAAAAACAGTTCAGACCATATTTGACAAAATAATTTGAAAGTGTTTTTGTGATAAAAAAAAGCACTTGCATTTCTATTAAATATTTCATACCATAAGTGCTTTATGAGGAAGCATCTTCAAATGGGCTATAAGTCTTCAACACAATTCTTGTCAACTAATTTCCACTTAGGTTCGCAATCAAGGCCTGATTTCATATAAGAATTGACGAAGGAACTTGCAAGCTCAGAGTTTTGGACTGGGGCTGATCTTTCAATGGGCAAAGAATTTTGGTGGGAATAGCTAAAAATAGACCAAAGGTTCTGTGGGATTTGAGCAAAAAAATTGGGAGTTAGCAAAGAAGTGGAAGCCGAACTATTTGTCCCACACCCGCCACAGGGGCAAAGAACTATCTACCTTCGCTCATATAAAATATTGTAGGCTGCGAAAGATTAACTTACGGAACCGTGCGTTGAGCACAAAGCAAACTATTCTTTCGTCTTTTACTAAAGAATACCGTTTTAAGTGGTATACGTCTATTTTTTAAGAAAGCACCACTGTCGGTGCACCTAAATCTCAGTATTTAAATTGTAAAAGTTCAGCTTGTATTTTCTTTAGCTTTTACCCTTTATGCCCTGGAACTAAACAGTTGTCTTGTCCTTGAAAATTTAGGGTAATCTCCACAGGTCATACAAGCCAAATATCACTTGTTAAAGTGAGGGAAATACGAGGTGTGCTGCTGCTAAGGTTGGTTTGCTGGAGTATAATGTAGTAGGCCTCATTAAGCTGTATAGTTAGGTAGTAGTTAGGCCAACCACTAATAATAATGAGTAGGATCAGAAGGCATTGACATTTAGCACCTTTTATGAACTTTTTCAGCGTGCCAGAACATGACTCGGGACACTAAATATTATAATATAAGTGTTTATTTTTATTTTTTTTTTCAAATATCCAACCACTTGTATTATAACTTAATATACCGAACCATGTTCCGGCACTGAAAAATCTCTTATATACAAGTTGTCGTGTGTTAGCTTTCTCCACTCAAATATTGTGTGGACTAGTCTTTTTTTTCATTGAATAAGGTATTTTTCTTATTATTTTTTTAATAAATTAAGGGATTGAACAATGCATGGGAAATGTCCTCTTCATGAAAACTTGGCTCGGGACTTACAATTTTAATCGTGGAGCTATGTCGTTTGTTCTCTCGGGTTTGATTGGAGATCACTCATTAGACTATGTACGTTTTGCAAGAAATTTTAAAATTCTTGGGTGCAAAATGAGAATTGATTTCATGTTAGTTTGGGGTGACAATTTCGGATACGTCACATTATACGACTTAAAACCTGCACATATATGAAACTCGTTGTATGCACAGTTAAAATTGTTAACATAATATTATATTTTGTAAAATGATGACTTTTCTCATACATTTTTTTTATGAATGTATTGACACAATCTAAGAGTTTTGGACATTGCGGGGGGCATAATTGCTGCATAAGTCCCACATCAACCAGAGGAGCCAGTATTAATCAAGGCAACATTTGACTAATTTAAGTACGGAGCTATGCGTTGAGCACAAAGTGAATTATTCTTTCGCTTTTTACTGAAGAATTGATAGGAGCATATTTATGCATCTTAGTTTAGCTTGTTTTTGTGCATTTTATAGTGTTTTTCCTTAGTAAAGTAGTCTTTTAAGCTAGTTCTATGTGTTTTCAGGTTTTAAGGGCAAAGTATGCAAAAGGATGCATTTTGGAGCCTTTTGGAGCAAATTAGAGCTTGGAATGGACATCATATGCTTGGAGCCAAGAGGATGGACGAAATTGAAGACTTGAAGATGATGATTCCTACTTGAGCAAGGTTTCCTAGTTGAAGTAGGAAAGTCCCTGATGGAAGATGGTTTCCTAGTTGAATTAGGATTCCTAGTTAAAATGGGTTTCCTAGTTGAATTAGGATTCCTAGAAGAATGAAGATTCCTACTCAAATAAGGTTTCCTACTTGATGAAGGAAAGTCAAAATCCAAATGGTCTCAAGTGAAGCAACAAAGAAGTTTTCCAAGTCCAAGAAGGAAAAGGAGTCCAAGATGAAGAAGGAATGACAAAGACAAGGTTTCCTAATCCTAATAGGCAAAGTTTCCATGTGCAATGAGGAGTCCTTATCCATTTAGGGCACTTTATCCATTTAGGAAACCTTATCCTTGTTCTAGAAACCTTATCCTTGTTCTAGAACCCCTATCCTATCTTTGCCGTGGGTTTTATCCAAATCCCCTTAGTTTTTAGGCTTTCTAGAAGCCCTAACATTATCCCTACAAAGGTGCCGCACCCTTATCCCTTTTTCCCTACAAATTTGGCCCTTAAAACATGTTTCTAGGAACCTTATCTTATCTCCTACAAAGGTGGCGCCCCAAATCCTTCTAGAAAGCTGATTTCCCTTGCCTTGCAAGGCATTCTAGAAGCCTTATCACCTTATCTCCTTACCTGCCGCACCTAGGAAGCATTATCCCTTTCTATTTCTGATTTCTAAGCCTATTTCCTTGTGGACTTGGGTTATTCAAGTCCATATCTGATTACCCTAGGGTTTTAAGTGCCTATATATACTCATATTAACCCCTAGATCAGATCACCACCCCTCATACACATTCATTAATTCCAGAAATTCGTCCAACCCTTTCCACACCCTTGCCGCAGCCACCAAACACCTTTCTCCTTAGTTTTAAGCCTTGTCGCACCATCCCCTTCCCCTA